CGGCCGAAAGCCGAAAGTGCCTTTTTAACCATTTTCGGCCGATAATTTTCGGCGGCCGAATATTCGGTGCATCCCTAATCATTATGGAACCTCTGAGTTGAGGTAGGTAGCACTACTACATAGTAGGGCTGCACGATATATCGTGTCGTGACGATAATCGCGATATTCACATCGCAGGACGTGAGATTTTCTTTTCTTTCTTTTTTTTAGGACTTGCGATATTAAGTAGGCAAATTAACTAAAACACGTGATGTTACAATTATTTTGCTGCTTGCTACAAAAGGACAACTTGCGCGGCTCTCATGTCAGGGGTGCTTGAGTGAGTGACATGCAGGCTCTGCATGCACAGCAAACCATCAATCACAATCAAATCTCCAAAGCAAACGGACCCGGTGATTACAGGTAAAAACACTGAATAAAGTAGTTTTATGTATTTCTCAGTTTGGCGCTGCTAACGGAGCTAGCTCAGCTTGTTGCTCTGATAACTTAAGATCCAGACATCCGTGACTGAAATCCTTCATCCTGTTAAATATAGTTAGAAAAATACCAATTGTATAGCATTACAGTTCAAGAAAGGATGGTTTGCGGGGGGAAAAACGGTCTTTTCTTCAATTCCTGTATTTTTTCATATCGCAATATATATCGCAGGGTGGGGGGAATCACAACGCCCTACTACATACAGTAGTGCAGCACATGCACCTGAGCAATTAACTAAATAACATATTAGATGTCATTTAAGGATTAATTTAGGTACACTGCTATTTGAATAGTCATTTCAGAATCAACTGAGTTACCAAAGAAAGCTGTTCTTCTAGAAAAGCTGGCTGTCCTTAGGCTTCTATTGGTTCTAATGTTCAACTCAAGCTTAACCAGGGTGACTGTTAACAAAACATTTTCTCCATTCAAAGGCTAGTGTCTTGCCTAGTATTATATTTATGTTGTTTTTACACCACTTTTGTTAACAACTCTTAAATGTACGTTGTGTCTGCAGCCCCTCCCTGCAGACGAGCTCCTGATCATGTCTCAGTATCAAGGATTGCGTACTTCAAGAGGAAGTTTGTGGATGATGAGGATGAGCCGCCCTTCAGCTTCAGGACTTACTGCCAGACTGTACGTTTTGACACACACACATTCTTAATACACTCAGTACACAGTGTATCCCAACTGACCTCATTACAATGCCATACTCTTAAATAACTCCAGTATCATTTTCTACTGTGAATTTAGCTTACAAAACATTTCAAAGCTGCAACCAAACTGCTTACTATTATACCGTATCATTTGTCATCATTCATTTTGACTGTCACTGTGTCAGAAATCATATTCATCCAACATGTCCTATATGATGTAATGTGATTACAAAGTGTCCTCTATAGTCACCTAACAGAAATAACAGACACTTAGGAGTCATAAAAATTCTGTTTTGCATGACTTACATATTTGTTTCAGTTATGGGAATGTATAAGGGCACCATACATTGTATAAATCTGCATGAAAGTAATACATGTTGGTGTTTTTCAAAAAACAATCATGCATGCAAGCATACAACACTGCTACCATCAGATGGGTTATAAGGGTAGTGCCCATTGGTGGAAGAAGTACTCAGAACCTTTACTTAAGTAGAAATCAAGTAAAAGCCCTAATTGAAACTGTGACTTCAGTAGAAGTACCAGTATTACGAGCAAAATGTACTTCATGTATTAAAAGGTATAGATATCATACTGTTTTTATAAAGGACAAATGCATGTTGGATCATTTAAATGTTGCAGCTTATCAATATGGGGCCAATTTACTATGTCAAATACTTAGTATATTAGCAATACAAGTCAGGCAAAATATTACTTAAGTACTGTAGTTGAGTAAATTTACTTTTTGCACTGGTAGTGCTACATTGGTTGAGTTAGGTTAACGATAGACAAAAAAGGGATTCATTAGCCTGCATCTCACTTTTTTGAGTTAGTTTGCATTAACATTATTTCTGCCAGAAAAAAATATAAAACCCCTTCACTCTGTCTCTCAAGTCATTTATATTTGGTGTCTGGGTTTCTATCAACTGACAAGGCTACATATATCTAACGTGTCCTCAGGTTGCTCCGGTGCTCGAGGAGCGCACCCACGTGCTGCGCCTCTCCCTGGAGAAGATGCGCTTCATCGACGACCCCGAGGCCTTCCTCCGGCGCTCCGTACTCGTGAACAACCTCCTCCGGCGCCTGCGGACCGAGATCCTCCTCCAGAGCGCCGACTGGTGCTTCCCCCCAAACGCCGCCTTCACCCCCGGCCCCCCGGCCCCCAGCGCTAACCCCTCCCACCAGGCCCTCCACGGAGCAGTGCCCACCCGCATCTGCTTAGCACCCCAAGCCGGACCTCCTTTCCGTAAGCGCTTCCGGGTGGTCCGTGCGGGGCAGGGGGATCTACGCCCCGACTCCGCCCAGACGTGCTGCTGCATCTACGCAGCGGCGGCGGCTGCAGGACACTACCTCCACCTGCCTTTCTCCATGTACGACGCAGCACTCTCCACCTGCCCGTCTGCACCGCACTCCTCTTTCTTTCAGCTAGCTGGCCATAGTAAGTTAGGGCTGACGGTGGCAATAGAAGAGCATGACGATGAGGATGAAGAGGAGGAGGAGGAAGAAGAGGAAAATGAAGATGAAGAAGAGGGGGAGGAAGAAGAAGATGATAGAAGAGAGGCAGGGACTTCCCTGGATGTTGTTAAGGACAAGTCAAGCCAGAAAAGCAGGACTAAGACCTTGCTGGGTCACGCACATATAAGGACAGAGGAAGACCGCTGCATGACAGATAGGGAGGAAGAGGAGGAGGAAGAGCAGGAGAAAGAGGAGGAGGAAGAGGAGGAAGGGCAGGTTGTTCTTCAAAAAGTCAGCCTGTGGCACCGCAGGGCTCATAGACACTGATCTTGCTTTCTGAGAATGTAAATGTAACGATGACGACAGCTGTCCTCAGATGAAGATACTTTCTCCTCAGACGATGGAGGTGTGAGCTACCTACTATAGTAATGCCAAGTCAGCTTTATTTGGATGCGCTAATACAGTGGTGCATGTTTTTGTAGGCCGACCCGGAAGTTAGCATCACAGGGGCTCCCTCAACAAATATCAAATGTGATTTTTCCATTGGATTTTGGAATATTGCAGAAAATAAACTCTCTGGCAAACACATGTTTATGATACTTAACAGTTTTCATTCAGAATGATAATCTCCACATATTAACATATATTTTTCTTCACGTGAATTTGACGGCAAAATTTAAAAGGTTGAACTCGCTTCAATCGCGTCTATCTGAGTCTTTACATTGATTTGAACGGACGCGATGCGATCCAAAAATCATATCGCGTCCGGTGTGAATGCACTGTTAGACATTCACGAGTGGGATATTAACTGACGTATTCTATGTTGTAAAACAAAACATGGAAATCTCTTCAGCTTGTGTTAACCACAGACCTTATTTTGGAAATATAACAAAAAATACGTTGAAAAACGACTTCAAGACGAGGGAGTTTAGGTGTGCTAAAATGCTAACTCATTTCCAGAGCTTAGGACTCATTCCTGCACTACTCTATAAACTTCAGGATTGCGCACATCAACTTTATTATTTTGCTTGTGTTAAGATCACGTAAAAAAAAACTACATAGGAAGATCTTGGCCACTATTGGCACTGGAATACTTTTGAGAGATAGATAGATAAATAGGCTAAGGTCACATAGAGTGGGATCTTCAATCCTAAAAGTAAAGTGAAGGGTCTCCAAGACCATTTTTACAGCCCCACAGCACAAAACTAAAGGTCTTAGTAGGGTTTATATTGGTGCACCGGTCTTGTTTCAGGACCCTAAACAAGCCTACAAAAGGTGTTGTGGATTTGGGAGTGTGTGCTTCTGTGCATGTATGTGCGTGAGTCAGCAAGATATTATGTAGCATTTTAAAACTTGATTGAAGCAGTTGTTTTAATTAAACATGGGTATATTTTAAAGCTGTCTCAGGCAATGGCGTGCGACTGTGCTGCAGTGGCGGCATCATGTGTTTTTCTTCAGATTACTTTAAGAGACAACAATCATAAACATTTAAAATGTTAAATCTCAAGTTCAAGTGCCTTAGTGTTTTTATAGATTCTTGTATATTGTGTGTTAATGTAATTCTTCTTGTTGCTAAGTATCTTGCATTCCAAGTGACTGCGTTTGACTGAAACAGGACATAGGCATGTAGTTAAATGCAGGGATTCTGTGTCTATGAAAGCTCAAACTGAATTTCAACACTCAAAATGCATGTTTTCAAGCATTACGTGTCTTGACAACGCACACACTTGAAAGCAACTTTCAAGTGAAGTTGCTAAAGTCTTGTTCAAAACCTCCTTTACTTAGATTCAATCAGGAGAGGCTTGTTATGGTTGGGTCGCTCTGTCCATTGATGAAGTTTCACCAATAGTCTGCAGCATTATGGATTATAACCAATAAGGTTCATCACGGAAATACATGTATAGCAAACACAACAGGACAAGTCAGATTCACTCAGTTCTATTTGAAGTTAAAGGAATAGTTTGTCATTTTAGGGGATATACTTGCAATTAAAACCTTTTTGCAGTAACAGTACCGGCACTTCTAAAGCTGACTAAATGACATGTTATATCCCAATGGTTTTACGAGGGGAGCCTTACTCTGGCTAGATTTGTAAAACTGTGCATAGATTCACGACCAAAGTTTTTGGTACACACAAAAACAGAAATATGCATACGCAGATTTATAAAGGTTCATGATATTGCTCATGACATTGTTTTAGGTCCCTGTGCTTAAGCATAGTTTTCAATCGGAAACACGGACGTTTCTGCACCCGACCAGGAAATAGTCAAACAACATGTGTCATTGTTATACTTTGGCAGCTGTATGGATTTAACTATTTTAATACAAATATTAAAATAGGTAAATTAAAGAGCTTTAGAAGTGCTTGGAGGCTGTTTCTACCATGGATGTACTAAGAGGTTTGGATAAAGTGTTGGAGGCGGGGCCCTGTTCATTCCTTTGAAAATTGCTCAGTGGGGCATGAAGCCAACATGGCTTGACTCTTGTGTTCAAAAATACCTGGATCATTCCAGGATCTGGGCCCATAGAGTATGTGTTTACCTTGAGCCCCGCCTCCAATCCGCTGCGTCACAGCCCAGACTCAGCTCTTCCAAATATTTGGAGAAGCAAAACATTCTAGATTGGCTTTAGTGTATTTTACAACTTTTATGTCCCAATCATTTAACAAAGGGCTATTGAAATGTTCTTAATGGGAAGTGTATTTAGCAAAAAATACACAGACGCATCTTTCCCAATGTAATTCAAGAGAAAAAAGTATTTTTGGGCTCAATGACATCACGGACTGACACATAAGTTGTAGTACCACCATTTGGCCACTAGGAAAATCTAATTAAACGCTTGGCGCAGTTTCAGGGGTCTTGGTTTCTACCTGCTTCAGTCTTTGTGCTAAGGTAAGCTAACTGGTTGCTACTTCGTATTTACATTCATGACAGTGATGTTAATCTTACTCTCAATAAGAAATAATGTTTCTAGTGTTGCAGGCAATAGAATTTAGTAAACATGCATCTCAACATACAGAGCTAAATATCACGTCCTTATCAAAATCTGACAGGCTTAACATTTGTTATTAGGCTAAAAGAAACCATTCAAGGACAGACACAATAACAAGCTCTAATCTACATACATGAGCCTTTCATGACGGCATGATCAGTGGTTTCTTGTTTGTTGGTGTGTTTCGTTTGGCGCCTCTGAAGCTTAGGTTCCTCAAACTGGTGACAAACCAAAGCAGTTTAAAACGTAAAGAATACATCAGTCAGTATTGTTTTTATTTTTTGTGACGCACCATAAGGTCAAAGAATTGGATGGTCTTTGTGCTTGGTGGAATTATTCCCGCCTTGCCACTTGTCATATAGTTTTTTTCAGATGTATAACAGTTTGCATCCCTACGATGGCCTCCCGGTGAAACATCTACAACTAGACAAGTTGAGTACCAGCCTATTTTGTTTCTCTAAAACCTAAATAATAAAACCCTGTGATTATCAGTGGTATTTTTTAAAGTTGAATCATTTTTGACAAAGCAGTATTTGTTTCTGGGACGAAAACATTTAACTGCATTGTCTGTTATCAAAATAAAAAAAGAGCTATTCTGCTCTGACAATTTATGTGATGTTCTGTGACCAGTGTAAAGATGAGTAAAAGAAATGTTAAGAAAAAAACTTGCTTCCTCCTTTATTCCTTAACATTGTAGTTCACAGTACAATAACATACAGTGTGTGTATATGTACATGTATACACTATTGCAGACCTCTAAGAGTGTGTGTGTATTTATCACTGTTTGGGGATGCCATTATGTTTACACATTTGTGTTGTGGGGACCTCTGAGGCTGTGTTGGTATTTATCATTATTTGGGGACACCATTTTGTTAACACAGTCACGTAAAGGGGACCTCTGAGGTTACTGCACACGCCAAAATGTCTTTCAGTTGTCAATTTGCTGCTCAATTCTTGTAAATTGTTTTGACATTACGCTCAGAGCATGTCACCCCCACAATCTTCCTTACACTCCCTAATATCTATATAGGGATGCATGCTCAACAAAAAGTCATTGGATTTTTCTGAATATTGTAGAAAATAAGATCTGTGGCAAACTGCCTAATTTAGTCACTTGTTTGCAGCCACCATTTTTAACCTGTTCCACCCTGAGCCTGTTTTTCAGGTCTCAGGCTCGAAAATGACATTCCCAAAACAAATGACCATATCTTCCCTTATAAAAGGGTTAAATTAATAATCTTTGTTCTCAAAGTAATTATAAACCTGTGAGTTGGATGTAGAAAAGTCAGAATCAATATAGATGTTTTTTATTTTAAAGAAAATTCAGATTGAACATAGTAAAAAACTGTAAATTATAGTGTCCGTCCAAAAGTTCTTTTTTACTTATAGTGAAAACTACCCTTGGATGATGGTAAGGTAGACTAAAAGCTTTATGAATCCAAAGTACAACATACAATAAGTACCCTGTATCAAGATTGATGCAAAACAAGTGACATTTGACTTTTTCAGAGAGATTTAGCAAAAGAAACTCCACCTCTGGGGCCATTTGGGTGGAAATGGGCGTTTTTGTCGTTTCTCTGGAACCCA